TATATATATATATATATATATATATATATAACTGATGAAAGAAAGTCTTTTCCGATCTGCAAATTTAAAAAGAAATTATTATTTATTTTGTCACAGCAAACCAGGCATAGAATCACAGTATTAATAAAATATATTATCAACCACAACTTAGTTGTTCTGTCATGTTTTCTATTGGTTGATGTATATCAGAAGAGATTTTCTAGGAACTAAAACTTGTACATCGTGATGCAATTTCAAAAATCATTATATAGCAACAGAAATTTACCTCAATCCTCAAACCACTTTTTGAAAAGATATTATTTTCACATACATAAACAATGGATTGAAGGCTGCAAGTTTGCCGATATTAAACGTTCATCTTCGTGACCATCTTATGAATGAAAAGTGGTGAAATTAACACTACCTAAGAATAGATTGGGGTTGTAGAATGATAAGCATCTGTAAATCACAGTAAAAATTCTGTCACTAGGAATATTTTACATCAAAAGCAATTTTTTTTTTACAGTTGAACAGTCTCCACCTAATTATGTTTATAAATTTTTTATTTTTAAGCCTTTAATTTAAATTCCAAGTGTGCCATACAACAAGATCGTCATATTCTTGTGATCCAAATGATGATACAAAGTAAAATTCAACTTAAAAAATTAAGAACTTCCTATAATAAACCAGTACAAAAATAACAAAACCAATCCACAGGTGAAATAGTTGAAACACAACATGATTTATGAAGACAAATTACCTGGGATAAATTAATAAACCTATAATAATAATTCCTATAATAAACCAGTACAAAAATAACAAAACCAATCCACAGGTGAAATAGTTGAAACACAACATGATTTATGAAGACAAATTACCTGGGATAAATTTCACACCGTGCCAGATCCATGATGAATGTATTCATAATGACATTTTTTTTTAAGTTTGTATCTTAATGCTATTCATAGTTATTCACAATCACATTAAATTAAACCATCTAAAAGGTAAAATATTAGGACCAATACTGGGGTATCAAAAGTACATAGAAGTTTTTTGTGTGAAGATTAAGTGATGTATAATTTAAATGACACCCTGAAATTATTTTATTTTATTATAGCCTGAATCATGTAGTTACTGAAAGTAAACTTAGTTTTGGAAGCAGACTTGTGTGAATCATTAAAAAAACAACTAACAAACCATAATCAGCTTGTGGTATTAAAAGGCTTATAGAACTCTCACAATTAGTTTAAATAATATTTTTCTATGCTACCCTTCAAAACTTGAATACTTTTATTTTTGTACCAACTGATCCGTAGTTCTAAAAGAGAGAATTTTAGTCTTTTTTTTCAGTTTTCCTTGAAGATAATTGTATTTTGTTTAAATATGAAACTATCAGAATGCTTTCTTCTAAGATGTAGCTTTTTGTGAAACTTCTTAAGATCTTTATGTTACATTTTAAATTAATGATATCGTCACGTCTCTGGTCGTTAGTTAATTTCCTGTATAATTTCTTTCCGATGAAACTTTAGCGACACAAGTCCTTTCTTAAATAAAACTAGTTTATTCTTTCTCAATACACTTAATTTCCACAGTCACGCTATAACTTAAACAAATGCTATATTTCACAACGAACGAACGATTCACGTGCTTGGCTCAATTGTCGTCTGCAATTGTTGCCGTCGGTTCTTGGCGGTCTTATATACAAGAATACCGAAATCTAGTAAACACTCAAGGCTTCACGAACCTTTGAGAATATGACATGTTACTAGCGTCACGTGACCCCCGCTGTCGTAACAATATTTTAAATTTATTGCCACAAATGCAGGACTGAATGTTCTAGATGTTTACTGAACATTACACATATATAAAACTTGGCAATGATGCATATTTTTTAATTACTATTTTCTGTAGTACTGGGACTACTGATACAAGCATGTGGTTTATTTATAATCATATTCTTCCCTAAATGTACATTAGTTAATATTGTAAGTTGCATTAAGGTAAAATAATAAAAACTTAAATTTTAAAAGAATGGATGATAGAATTTTTTGTTTCTTTTATTAGATTGTGTTTTTAATTTTAATTACAACATACTCAGATCCATCCACTATAAAAAATACAGATAGCTATTTTGTTATGAATCCATTAACTCAAGAGTGGGTCCAACTTGGTGTATTACTACCACAAAGGCATCAGCAAAAACAAGAAAAACTTTTCAAAAAAGTAAGTAAATGTAGGGATGGCTAACATTAATCCTTCAACATTAATGCAAAGAAGATAGTACATTTTTTAAATAATGATTTTACAGGCAAAGTTTGACTGATCAAAAGTGTTGTTGAGTTTCAGACTGGAAATGTCTTTTGACATAACGTGTCACCAACCTGGGTAAATTAGATAACTTAACAAAATCTCTTACAGTTTGTTATAAATCTTAAATGCCCCCAAAAGTAGAGATATTATATTAAAATCAACATTAGGATTTATCTATCTGTGATTTTCAGTTCATTATGCAAAAATCATCCTAAAGATAACACTCTTTTTAGCAGATAAAGAAATGACCTAATGAAATAGCAATGACCAAAATTTGTTCAAAATATAGCCTCAGCAACTTTTACAGTATGAAAATGTGTAAGGGGTTAAAATGTTGTGATAATTAAAATCGGAATTTGCCTATTGTAAAAGTTGCTATTATTGCATTTTATGTTAATTAATTAGAAGGTTCCTTCCCAAACATTAAAACTTTATCCTCAGTTATTGTATTTGGAAATGAATATGCAATAAGTAAAATAATAAACAATTCAAACCCTTAACTGGCTCAACAATCCAAAGACCCAATACACAGTGCTAAAGATCTCCACATCCGATGGTCTAAATTACAGCTTAATTAACTGTTACCTTCTATTCTAGTTTATTAATAACATTTCGAGTTGTCAACCACTACATATTACTAATATCTTAAAAACAAAACAATTTACTGATGTCTAAAATTTTAATAAAATCATCTGCTTTAGCAATCACCAACTTCCTTCTGTTAATGTTATGCTATACACAAATAGTAAATTTTGGGGTAATCAATCTATAAAACTATATTACTTTCTACATGATGTTCTTACATTAATTTATATTTAAAGAAAGCAACAACTAGTCATTAGCCTCAGCTTATTTTACACTACTACTACTTTATAAAAGCAACAATTAATCACTGCCTCAGCTTATGTTACACTACTACTTAATAAAAGCAACAATTAGTCACTGCCTCAGGTTATTTTACACTACTTCTTAATAAAAGCAACAACTAGTCACTGCCTCAGCTTATTTTACACTACTTCTTAATAAAAGCAACAACTAGTCACAGCCTCAGCTTATTTTACACTACTTCTTAATAAAAGGAATAGTTAGTCACTGCTTCTGCTTATTTTACACTACTGCTTAATAAAAGTAACAACTAGTCACTGCCTCAGCTTATTTTACACTACTTCTTAATAAAAGCAACAACTAGTCACTGCCTCAGCTTATTTTACACTACTTCTTAATAAAAGCAACAACTAGTCACTGCCTCAGCTTATTTTACACTACTAGTTAATAAAAGCAACAATTAGTCACTGCCTCTTCTTATTTCACACTACTACTTAATAAAAGCAA